TCCGCAGGCGGCAGCAGACATTATCGAGGCGCTCCTGGCCGACGCAGAGGCTAGTAAGTTTGTCTCCGATCCTCGGAATCCTGGCCATAAATGATTTTGTGTTTAGGAATTATGATTGCGTTGCCTTGGTTACTGAAATAATTTAAGTAGGCATAATGAACCGAAGTTAAATTCTCTTGAGCCGTTATGGACTCCCCTAACTCGGGCATGTGAGCTTACGGGTATTTGTATGCAGTTTCCTGATGAAATGTTATATTTAAGTCAGGTTTACAGTTTCAGAGCATGTTGTAATTCATCGGTCGTGGACAGTCTCGTTTCGGGCTCAGTATGCTTACTTCGCGTAAGTGCATACCAGTTGCGTAGTAGCAGACATGTTTTCTCATCACAAAGATACTACACAGTCCGTTAAAACTGCACTCCCCATACGGATTTCTCCATAAACTTGCGGTTACTTAGTTTTATTAGTCTTACAGAAGGTTCACTAACTCATGAAATCGAAGGATTTTTACAAGTAACTCCCTGTTACTCAAACGCAACCGAAGCTGCGGCCCCAAAAGCCTTGCAACAATAAACTAATGGTTGTTCTTCACAATAGGGCATGTTGTGATTTATAAAGGAATATAACGTTTACTAGAAATACAACCTTTTTTAGCAAAGCGGAAACTTCCATTAAAAAGTGAAAATCGGGCGTACTAGGTTAACTTAAGTTCTACTCGTAGAGGATGCCCGTTTATACAAAACCACCGAGTGAGTATAGCAAAAAAATTAAAATTACGTTGGAATATAATCATTTTGTAAACTTTTCGTATATACGTGCTTCCATATTACGTGGAATGTAGTCTATGGATGTTGCCGAATAGCCAAAATTTGGAGTATATATTCCAATATGTTTTCACGAGAATTTCTAGTTTTTTTTCTTTCGTTTATGCAATGCCTGAGTTGCGTTGGACTAAAGCAACCAAAATTACGCTTGACTTGGCCCATTGGGAGATCACAGAAGTAAGATATTTCGTAAGCTCACGTGCGG